AATTGGATAGAAAAAGTTTTGATACAACAAAAAAATTTACTTCAGTGTCAAGACATCCAATAACTGATTTAAGTCCACTATGTCCACTGACAGAATAAATTTTTATTAGTTTATTGAAGACTTAAGAGGTTAATAAGTTCTCTCTTTCTAATTTACCTTGAACTTCCACTTAACTTTAAACTAATTTTCCCAATTTCACGTTCTATGTCATCATGAATTACTACTATATTTGATGGAGACATCTCAAAATGTTTTACTAACAAAATTTCTTATATATTAGATTAAATAAAAAAGTAAATAAACTAATCAGAAAACTGTCCAAATAAATACCAGCACTAGCTATACATTCACCAGAAATATGCATCAACAATAAAGGTTTGAATAACACAATTTCTATTGGAATATAATTAATAACATCCAATGTTGGTGAATTTTCTTTATTATCAATTAATGTTCTTGTTGAAGTTGTTCTTGTTGATGATGATATTGGTTTTCTTCTATCTTTAAAAAAGGACCTTATTTCATTCAATTTTTGATCAGGCTTTTGTATCAAATAATCATTTTCTTTACTTTCACTTTTCTTAGAATTGGATTTATTCAAAGTAAGCCTTGAAGGTGGTTTAGGATCAACATAAATATTTAATCTTGCAAATTCACCAGGAAAATTGTTGTTCTTATGCCATGTTAAATTATTTAATTCAGCAACATAATTTACTACTTGTATTCCAACACTGCTCCTAGTTCTTACATGTTTATGATTTCCCAAGCCTATAAACTAATAATGTTTTTATTATTATTAATATTATAAATAACAACTAAAAAAATATTTATTTGAAAAATAGATACCATAATTTTTTTAAACATTTTCTTTTTATAAATTATAAAAATTTTGATCAGGATTTACATAAATACGATATCCAAAGATCATCCATCATCATTCATTTTTTAAAAATTTAAATTTATGGCGACATTCGCAACTGACAAAGATCTTGCCACTAGTTGTCAACAAGATGTACATTTAGGTGTAAATAGTTTTTTTGCTGTTGCTGGTATTGAAGATCGTGATGTTGCACCTGCACCTGCCACAACGGAGATTTTTGGCCGCTTTCAATTCTTAAAGGTCAGAACCCATGCAACGAATGCTCATAATAATTATTTATCATGGGCGAATTATAAATTTTGCTTTGTAGATTTAGTTTATTTATTTCATTTTTTTAAAATGATTTATAGACACTTTTACATCCAAGCCTTTGTGAATATGTTGAAATTGTAAAGGGAAAACATGGTAAAATTGATCGTTATGATTATATAATACGGATAATCTATCTTAGGAATTAATTAGACATTAAATATATTTTATATAGATCGATTATTTGTAATATTTGAATATCATACAAATAGTCTTGAAAAGTTTTATCAACGTAATGAAAAAGAAGAAATTATACAGATTTCAAGGTTAATGAATAATTATATATTTGGCTAATTTATTAGTCAAATAACAAACATATTTTAATTAATTTGATTTCCTTATAGTATAAAAATTGATAGGTTACGTGAATGGGCATTTCAAATATTGAAAGCTCTTGCTTATCTAAACAAAAATAAAATCACACATCATAATATTTCACCTCATAATATCTTATTAGATGATGAAGTAATATATATATATATATATACTATTTATTTATTACTGTATAGATTATGATTTAAAATTTATTTTATAAAATTTTTATTACCAGGGAAATATAAAATTGGCAGATTATGGATTTTATTATATGACTAATGGTGGAGCTGATGTGGAATTTCCAATTGGGTAGAATTGTTGAATTTAATTAATTGATTAACTACAAGAAAAAGAATATTAAAAATTTTTTTTTTTACAAAGTTATCCACAATACATTCCTCCTGAAGCAATTTATCATTCCTCCGAAATGACCTATGCAACAGGGAAGGTGATTAGATTATGAAATTAATTTTTTTTCTGATTAATAATTCCATAATAATCTTAACATACCTGTTAAATAATAGGTGGATGTATGGTCATTGGGCATAATATTAGCAGAATTGTTTTTTGCAAAGTCTTTTTGGGAAGATATCAAAGATATTGATAAATTATTTTCATCATTATGGGATCTTCACTCCATTGCGTATAAAAAAGATAATGATAGTGGTGGTGTTGGTAATGGCGAAGCTTGGGATAGTTTTAATGTTTTCGAATTAGGAATAAATGATTCAATTTTAGAATTTTTACAAGCAACAGATGGAACAGATACAGATATTATTGAATTTAGAAACTTTTTACGTTGTTGTCTTCAAGTAAAAGTTTCAGATCGACTCTTACCAGAACAATTATTGTCTCATCCATTTTTCAAAAAAATCCATATTTATGAAAAAGGTGGGAGTAAGCAGTACAAATATTGGTGGCTGAAACCATTTTTGCAATCACAACAAATTGAATTTGATGAAAAGGATTTATTTAAATATATTGAAGAAACTCCAAAAAAAGATGTTCTACATGGGATACCTCTGTCACAAATTTATTATTTTTGGAAATTAGCTGGAGGTGATGTTGAATCAGAGCTAGCAAAAAGAGGTTACCTGCTTAGTACTCCGCCAATTGAAAGATTACCAAGAACTGTTAAAGTAGAAGATGGAAAAGAGGAGGGCACAAAAAAAGACACAGCTTTTTTATATTCTGACACAATCTATACTTTATCATTAAAAGAACTTCGTCAACGATTGGAAAATGCCACAGGTCTTAATAGAGACACTCCTGAACAAGATCAAGAACAGGATTATTTTCTAGATGATGATATGAATTTTTTAGTTGATGAGTCATCAAT